TTTAAAGATATAAAGGAAAATATGTCAAAATTTTTGCTCTTTTTCGCGTTCTAAATTTTGACCCCTCTCTAGCGCCATTTTTAATGCAAAAATCAAGAAAGAAAAACCGATGTGCACAACTTCAATGCTTCTTCTTTTCAATTTCAAATGGTATTGTGCTCCAATTATTACAGTTTCCGAGCCTTTGTCTGGAAACCAGAGGCATAAAAATTTCAATCAAAGGGGAATAACTCGTGAACAGAAGGTAATTTCCGAATTGTATTACAGTATTCTGAAAGTGTTTTGTAAAGTCTAAAAGCTCTGAAAATTTGAACAAAATCTGTTCAGAAATTAGGAAGATATGAAGCTTCAAAGTTGGCGTCTAGGAAAAAAAAAAAAAAAGAATAATCTTAATCAGTACAATCAGTAGAAGGTCTTCCGTTGGAAACGGAAGACCTTAAATATTAAGTGATCTTCATTGGTATGGTGAACAAGTATTATGCAGCAATGGTGTCTTGGGATTTGAAGATTTTTATTTGGCTCTGGTTTGTGTCTTATGTGGTTAAATTAATATCTGGATTTCACAATTATTTACGCCTCAAAAATATTAACGCATGAACTTTTTGTCAAGATTACGAACTTCACGTAGTCTGATATATCGTACATAAATTTCATAAATTTTATTATTAAGAAAGTAATTGAGGGTTCTTTATTGATCTTGTAACGGCAATGCGTAGTAATGTATCTAAGATGAATGCAAAAATGCAATCTTATGACAGTTTTCATGAAAAACATTTATCTACATAAGTCCACAAAGCCTGTTAGAATTTTCACGCTTTCGATTGACAGCGAGAACGGCTTCTGGTCATGTGATGAATACAGTTCAACGCAGCACAAAACAGTTACTTTTCAAAGACTGCAACAATGACTTTGTATTATATTCTTCACAACACAAAGAAAAAGTTTTGTATCGTACTTAATTCAACAATGAGCATGTGCCTTTTTTGTCACATACTTGTAATTGCTACATGTATATCTTAATTCGTACGAAAAATGCATTCTTAAGCATTGTAAAGAATAAATTTTCTTACTATTTTGATCCTACAAAATTAACACAGTCACATCTCTGATTTATGCAGACAAGACATTACTTTCAAGAACAGAAAATATATTAAGATTCAAATATCTAATATAAGAATTTATTTTAAAAAAAACAATATATCAATATGCTTCCCTCAGATTAAGAGCGATTTATTTGATCAAGCATAAGGTTCACGGGTTGCTTATGCAGTACAATGCATGTACATGCATGTGCAGATACATGAAGCAGGTTTGTTCACGTGTCTTTATTGCCTGAAACAAGCAGAAATATTAGCCCACCACCACCCTCCAGAAATCTCCAATTTATACTTATCTCTCAAATGCTTAGCAGTTATCTTGTGAAATTTGCATAAGGTAACTCGGGATGTACTCAAATGATCTCCCTTTGAACGACGTAAGTACAACGTTCATTGGAATAAAGCTAATGTAAATGTAAGGAGTCGGTGACGAGATGGCGAGAGTTCATCTTGAAAAACACACAAAGTACTGCTCAAAGACTACAAAATTTCCCTGATATTAAGCCCTTCAAAACAAGCACGATATTAAGCCCTTCAAAACAAGCTCGATTTCGTTAAATCTTACAGAGATTTATTGTTAATGCATTTCAAATTTTACAAATTCACGTAGTATTTTGCCAGGAAAGGTAAACAAAATAAATTTCATAATACACTTTACGTTACACTTAGTCAGAAATTTATTTTCAGAAATGAATGACATCAAAACGACTGAATAATAAAATGGAAGTTTATATATATTGTGAATTTTTTAGGCGAATTCAATTCTCTCTCTCTCTCTCTCTGATTTCATGCTTGAAATTTTGCTTTGCAGCAAAGGAATTAAAGTATACATGCACACAATTGAAAATCAATTGTTCTAGAATGAACATTAGAAATATCAAGTGATCTTCATTGGTATGGTGAACAAGTATTATGCAGCAATGGTGTCTTGGGATTTGAAAATTTTTATTTGGCTTTGGCTTGTGTCTTATGTGGTTAAATTAATATCTGGATTTCACAATTATTTACGCCTCAAAAATATTAACGCATGAACTCTTTGTCAAGATTACGAACTTCACGTAGTCTGATACATCGTACATAAATTTCATAAATTTTATTATTAAGAAAGTAATTGGGGGTTCCTTATTGATCTTGTAACGGCAATGCGTAGTAATGTATCTAAGATGAATGCAAAAATGCAATCTTATGACAGTTTTCATGAAAAACATTTATCTACATAAGTCCACAAAGCCTGTTAGAATTTTCACGCTTTCGATTGACAGCGAGAACGGTTTCTGGTCACGTGATGAATACAGTTCAACGCAGCACAAAACAGTTACTTTTCAAAGACTGCAACAATGATTTTGTATTATATTCTTCACAACACAAAGAAAAAGTTTTGTATCGTTTTTAATTCAACCATGAGCATGTGCCTTTTTTAGTCACGTCCTTGTAATTGCTATATATCTTAATTCGTACGAAAAATGCATTCTTAAGCATTGTAAAGAATAAATTTTCTTACTATTTTGATCCTACAAAATCAACAGAGTCATATCTCTGATTTATGCAGACAAGACATTACTTTCAAGGACAGACAATATATTAAGATTCAAATATCTAATATAAAAAAAAAAAAAAAAAAAAAAAAAAAAAAAAAAAAAAACACATCAATATGTTTCCCTTAGATTAAGAGCGATTTATTTGATCAAGCATAAGGTTCACAGGTTGCTTATGCAGTACAATGCATGTACATGCATGTGCAGATACATGAAGCAGGTTTGTTCACGTGTCTTTATTGCCTGAAACAAGCAGAAATATTAGCCCACCACCACCCTCCAGAAATCTCCAATTTATACTTATCTCTCAAATGCTTAGCAGTTATCTTGTGAAATTTGCATAAGGTAACTCTGGATGTACTCAAATAATCTCCCTTTGAACGACGTAAGTACAACGTTCATTGGAATAAAGCTAATGTAAATGTAAGGAGTCGGTGACGAGATGGCGAGAGTTCATCTTGAAAAACACACAAAGTACTGCTCAAAGACTACAAAATTTCCCTGATATTAAGCCCTTCAAAACAAGCACGATATTAAGCCCTTCAAAACAAGCTCGATTTCGTTAAATCTTACAGAGATTTATTGTTAATGCATTTCAAATTTTACAAATTCACGTAGTATTTTGCCGGGAAAGGTAAACAAATTAAATTTCATAAGACACTTTACGTTACACTTAGTCAGAAATTTATTTTCAGAAATAAATGACATCAAAACGACTGAATAATAAAATGGAAGTTTATATCTATTGTGATTTTTTTAGGCGAATTTAATTCTCTCTCTCTCTCTCTTACATGCACATTATTGAAAATAAATTGCTCTAGAATGAAAATTAGAAATATCAAGTGATCTTCATTGGTATGGTGAACAAGTATTATGCAGCAGTGGTGTCTTGGGATTTGAAGATTTTTATCTCGCTTTGGTTTGTGTCTTATGTGGTTAAATTGATATCTGGATTTCACAATTATTTACGCCTCAAAAATATTAACGCATGAACTTTTTGTCAAGATTAGGAATTTCACGTAGTCTGATACATCGTACATAAATTTCATAAATTTTATCATTAAAAAAGTAATTGGGGGTTCTTTATTGATCTTGTAACGGCAATGCGTAGTAATGTATCTAAGATGAATGCAAAAATGCAATCTTATGACAGTTTTCATGAAAAACATTTATCTACATAAGTCCACAAAGCCTGTTAGAATTTTCACGCTTTCGATTGACAGCGAGAACGGTTTCTGGTCACGTGATGAATACAGTTCAACGCAGCACAAAACAGTTACTTTTCAAAGACTGCAACAATGACTTTGTATTGTATTCTTCACAACACAAAGAAAAAGTTTTGTATCGTACTTAATTCAACAATGAGCATGTGCCTTTTTTAGTTACATACTTGTAATTGCTATATCTTAATTCGTACGAATATGCATTCTTAAGCATTGTAAAGAATAAATTTTCTTACTGTTTTGATCCTACAAAATTAACACAGTCACATCTCTGATTTATGCAGACAAGACATTACTTTCAAGAACAGAAAATATATTAAGATTCAAATATCTAATATAAGAATTTATTTAAAAAAAAAAACAATATATCAATATGCTTCCCTCAGATTAAGAGCGATTTATTTGATCAAGCATAAGGTTCACGGGTTGCTTATGCAGTACAATGCATGTACATGCATGTGCAGATTTATTTGATCAAGCATAAGGTTCACGGGTTGCTTATGCAGTACAATGCATGTACATGCATGTGCAGATACATGAAGCAGGTTTGTTCACGTGTCTTTATTGCCCGAAACAAGCAGAAATATTAGCCAACCACCACCCTCCAGAAATCTCCAATTTATACTTATCTCTCAAATGCTTAGCAGTTATCTTGTGAAATTTGCATAAGGTAACTCGGGATGTACTCAAATGATCTCCCTTTGAACGACGTAAGTACAACGTTCATTGGAATAAAGCTAATGTAAATGTAAGGAGTCGGTGACGAGATGGCGAGAGTTCATCTTGAAAAACACACAAAGTACTGCTCAAAGACTACAAAATTTCCCTGATATTAAGCCCTTCAAAACAAGCACGATATTAAGCCCTTCAAAACAAGCACGATATTAAGCCCTTCAAAACAAGCTCGTTTTCGTTAAATCTTACAGAGATTTATTGTTAATGCATTTCAAATTTTACAAATTCACGTAGTATTTTGCCAGGAAAGGTAAACAAAATAAATTTCATAATACACTTTACGTTACACTTAGTCAGAAATTTATTTTCAGAAATAAATGACATCAAAACGACTGAATAATAAAATGGAAGTTTATATATATTGTGATTTTTTTTAGGCGAATTCAATTCTCTCTCTCTCTCTCTCTTACCTGTATTTGCACTATTAACCTCGGTGATCAGCATAGACCCGCTCTGACAATGGAGGGGCGACAAATCTTCTTTGCCTCGGTTACATATCGTCACTGCACAGCGATAAGCGCTCTCTGGAAACAAAGATCAATTAATATCATTCAAGATTTTTTTTTTTATTTAAAAAAAAAGGCAGGGGGGGGGGGTTAGAAATGGTTATGTGGGTATATATTTTATATAATAAAGTACGTGGTAAATCGCAGAAACGTTCAATGTAAAACTTTTATTCCTTATTGTAGCCCCACCCTACACTAAGGGGCCATCATTTGAACAATTTAGAATCAGCGTTACCTCAGGAGACTTCCACAAAAGATTCACCTTCTCTGGCCCACTGCTTCTTGAGAAGAAGATTCTAAAAAACGTTTCCTATATATTTCAATGTAAAACTTTGATTCCCTATTGTTGTCTCATCCTAGCTCCGGGGACAATGATTTGAATAATTTAGAATCTACACTTCCTCAGGAAGCTACCACATAAGTTTCAGCTTTTCTGGTCCAGTGATTCTTGAGAAGAAAGTTTTTAATGACTTTATCCTATTTTTGTCTTTTCGTGATTATTTCCCCTTGGAAGGGGGCTTGGTCCTTCATTTTAACAAACTCCCCTTTAGCCAAAGATGCTTTGTACCAACTTTGGGTAAAATTGCCTTGGTAGTTCTTGAGAAAAAGTTAAAAATGTAAAAAGTTTACAGACGGACGGACGGACGACGGACAAATGGGTGATCAGATAAGCTCACTTTAGCTTTCAGCTCAGTTGAGCTAAAAATAGATAAACATTACCCACATTTCATTTCTTTTCACATGTACAGTTTAGAAGTTTGATTAACACTTTATCGATATCTTACTAACTCTTCTTAATTAATTTTGTTGGAGTTATCGTCGAAGGCAATATGTTTCGAAGGCGCTTCCTCTCTACAAATGGGGATGAACTCAGAAAGCTCAACTTTAGTTTGAAGGTAAGCTGCATTTAATCATATGCATATGGATGATGAAAATCATTATTTGATATAAACTCTGGTTAATAAAGGAATAAGACCCAAAGTCCGGCAAAACAAGGTTGCAGTTCCGAGAATCTCTCAAATTATCACCAATATAGCAAATAGGGGGAAGGGGGTAGTAGTCCAGACATATCAATGCCCAAGTCAACCTGCAGTTGATGTGGCTGGCTAACAGGGAGTTAGCTGTCTTAGCAAGGCTGGGGGTTTCTTTAAAATTATAAAAGGTAACTAAAGGAAGCATTTGCAAATGAAAATGGTCACACTTTTTGTGCTTCAGGATTTAAGGGAGTTGAAAACCTCTGTGAACAATATTCCTAAGGTTACGTAAATTTAAACAACTACCCCCACCCACCCCACCCTAACCCACCCCCCAAAAATCTGAATACCTTTCTGGGTTAATTAAATTGTTGATATTCCTACATCTTAAATTATTTCATTATTATCATGATAATACTAAGTTATACCTTTAATAACTTTTCCCTTTTTCAAAGTAATTTTTGATATTATTCTCTATAATTTATTTGAATTAATTATAATAGTATCCCTATCAACCAACCCCATAAAGCAGATCTTATTTTCATTGTAAAAGATCTGCATTTGATACCATGCATTTGAAGGTGCTGTGGGTGTTTACATTTATTAATGTAGTACATGTTTGTACAGGTATATATATATATATATTTGAGTGAAATGAAATGTGGAGATATTAACGAACAGTATTCAAGCTCAGAGTCCATTAACACATTACAAATCGGAATCTGAGCAAATATTGACCTCCAAAGAGCATCACAGGTGGGATCAGGTGCCATGAAAGAAAGGTCGATCGCTTTCAAAACGTTATCATTTCTTTGACGGACCTTTTCTTTTGAGAAAACAATTATAGCTCCTAGATATACCATGCAGTTTACATGTATGTATTGCCCATCTTTCTAAAGCTACCTGTAGTAAGAATTTACGACCGCATGAGTCTGAATTTTGATCTCAAGTAAATAAAACGGTTCTGGCCTCTTCAGTTTGTCTCAATAACGAGCAAGATATGCGTTCTTATCATTACTAATGTTGTGCGTCCTTTTATCCCATAATCAAACAGTTTTCGCCTTAACACTTAATTACCCATAATGCACCGTACAACTCTCTTTCTAATTACCACGGAGATGTTTGTTGTTCACCAAAACGCTTCCTAGCAGTCTTGGCTGTAAATGTAAACCCAGCCCGAACACTTTATACTGATAAAAAAAAACGAGCTAATTACACTGCATTGTTTCTTATTCTTCTTTTCAAATATTATTTGTTTTTCTATTATTTTAAGTCACCAAACGTTTTAATTATACAAAAAAAAAAAAAAAAAAAAAAAAAAAAAATCATGCTCATGCTTAACTAAGATGATTTTCATGGAAATTGAGAGCGCTAGCTCTTGTATACATGTAAATGACACACTTAAAGATTCAAGTTTCAATGTGAGGAAGGATTTCTGCAGTAAATACGTCAGAAACTGGCATTGGCTCTGTAAATAGCTTAAAACAACCTTAAACAAAATTTATACACAATGCAAAATGTATGTTTTAGTGAAGGTGTACACATGCTCGTATACATGTCTTTATCTCGTCAGTTTTCTAAATAAATATTTTTGCAAATATGTATTCCACCAAATGCAATGCACTAGGGTTTTTGCGTACAAGCTGCAGGGCACAAAGATCGCCTTTATAAACACATACACTGATTGAACTATGATAACCTTGTAGGTAAAAAAAAAAGTTGTCCAATCTCTAAGGAACCGTCATCAACGCACGTTGCCTAGGTGCGCATTGATTGTGCATATGTGTTTGCCAAACAATACACGTTCGGTCGCGCGGCAAAATTATAATTTGTGTCATGATGTAGACTAGTAGGCGGAGCTTATATGAAAAATCGGTAAAGACGCCAATAAAAATATGATAATGTGTTACCTGTTTGTTTACTATCATGTATTAAATAAATGTACATTAATTTTAATGTTTTCAATGTAGGAGTACTCTGGTTTGGGAGAATCTTTAAGGATAATAACTAAAGTCGATGGGATAATGTGGTAATTCTTGCATTCACACGCCTTTCGTATGTAAATTATCACGTGCTCTAATTGACTTATCATCCCATAGATCGCCAAAACTAGACATCAGTGATGATGATTGGAACCACGTGGAAAACGACTTCGGCGTTAATACGTATGCAATGTATCCATACGTTTTCTCATTCAAAAGTTATAATCAAAGTTAACGTTTTTTGAGACTGACAGACGCACATACGAATGACATTTGAGGCCCACTCGCATTCACAAAAGTGGAGGGGGGGGGGGGAGGCAAAGTTAAGAAATACTCTTTAGGCATTTAATAAATTCAGACCAGACAAAATACCGGTAAGATTTGCTTGTTCTATAAAATTTTTCGAAAATAGAACGTAGAAAAGACTACATACATATCCATGTACATAATTAATAGAAAGGTATGCAAACTAAGAACAAACTGTAGCTCTCTGGTTGAGAAAATTCGGACGGACAAACCAGAGAGCTACAAATCCAAGCACTGTAAGAACCTTTGATTTACGGCGACGCTTTTTGTCGCTCTCTTAGGGTATTATTTCTTGTATAATAGGGCTTCCCCGCTTAAAGGATGAAATCCTCTATTCCTAATACTTTATTTGCCTTTCAACGGTTCCAAACAGCCCTACATGGCCTTGGAATGTCAGCTTTAAAAATTCACATTCTGACGTCCATGTTGAAGTCTTGCTAGAATAACACGCCCTGAATGGTATATAAGCATCAGGAATAGGATCGAGTAAAATATATGTTTAATTAACGGATGCCATGCTTTAAGTGGTGGAACGCACATAAACAAGAAATAATACCCGAAGCGAGCGACGGAAAAGCGTCGCCGTAATATTTTTACAGTGCCCGAAGTTTTTCAACCAGAGAGCTACTGTAACAGTTTTGCAGCTAAGAACAAAACTGATACACTTGCCAGCACAAATATAGCATCGTCTGACATCATACGCAATCATACATTTGAGAATATTGAAATAAAGACTGCAATTTGAAGGCATATTATGTCTGGTTTTATGGATTTATGGGTTGATAATTCGATTGGAGCACGTGATATTTCTTAACTTTGCCCCCCCCCCCCCTCCACTTTTGTGAAAGCGAGTGGGCCTCAAATGTCATTCGTATGTGCGTCTGTCAGTCTCAAAAAACGTTAACTTTGATTATAACTTTTGAATGAGAAAACGTATGGATGCATTGCAAGACATTCATAAGATTTGCATTAAACATCGTACCTTTGACAAGACCGTTCCGAATGTTTTATGATTTTTGACCTCATGACCTTGGCCGCGTAGCTTTTGTACTTGAAAAGACATTGGTTTCTCATTTTAGATTTGCATTACATGTCATAAGACCTATACAGATATACTGAGATTTAGGATCTTGACCTTAAGGCTTGACCTTTTTTTCAAAAAATTTTACCTACATTGGCCGTACTTTTTGCACATACGAAACAGAGCTTTGTTCATAGTATTAGCTCACCTGAACTAAATCTAAATCAAGTGAACTTTTTCTGATCGAAGGGTGTCAGGCTTCAGTCCGGCTTCCGTCTGTAGTCTGCTGTATGTTTGTGCGGTCTGTAAACATTTCACATGTTCAAATTCGACTTCTTCTAAAGAATTATTGACCAAATTTCAACCAAACTTACCACAAAGCATCATTGGGTAAAGGGGATTTCAGTTTGATCAAATTAAGGACCTTAAGTTTGTTCACATCATGACCCCGGGGTAGGGTGGGTCCACAATGGGCAATCAAAAGTTTTATATAGGGGAATTGGAAAAAAAAATCTTTAAGAATCCCCTCAAAAAGCAAAGGCATAATTAGGCATATTGATATGGAAGCCTCCTCAGGTAGTGTAGATTCTAGTTCGTTCAGATCATAAGTCTCCAGGGGGGTAGGTTGGCCGCTTAGGCGTTCATAATTTTACGTAGTAATATATGGGGAAAATGGGTGGGTGGGTGGGGGGTCTGCCAAACTCTGTAGCTTCTTTCGAGTCAAGAACAGTTCAGACATGTAGTGTACATTCACGTTTTTTTCAAACCATTACCCTCGGTGGTTTGGTGGGGCCACAATAGGCGAATCAAAGTTTTACAGAGGAATTATTTAAGGAATAAATCTGCTGATGAAAAACAGCGAGCCCATAATGACTCAGGTGAGCGTTGTGACCCATGAGTCTCTTGTTATTATCTATGTCACAGATCATTGCACCCCCAACCAATAAGATTCCGAAAGCAAGGGGTCACAATTCTCTAAATTTGCTTGTTTTCCCAATGCTCGATTAACATTGTTATTTGTTAATGTCACACATGGAGATGGGATCTAGGTGGAGGGGGAGGAGAGGCGGGGTTGTTAGTAATGAATAAATTAATTAATAAAATTGTGTTGAGTAAATAAAATGACATATGTATAACTATCCCATCCCTCATCTCCTGTTTGTCTCCGAATAGTCATAAAGTTGGTCTGATACATTCATAATATTTACACAGATGTATATATATGCTTCACTAAATAAATGTAAATATCTTTTATGCTAGCTATCATTAGAAAAAAAAAGTTAATTATGTTTTCAAGCAGCATAATTCTTCTTTTTTTTTTCTAAGATTTTTTCTTCAAACCTTTCAACTTAAGCAGTAATGCTGAGAGATTCGTTTTCATAATCTAATTAAAACGGCACGGAGAGATATATAATACAACAATTTGGCTCACCTGGTTGTTTTTAAAAGTTTATCTAACACAGCACTTGATGATATCGATGTTTTGGATGGATGTTTTAGAATGCATAGATTTTGTGAATAAACGTGTTATGACATCCTCAGCTGAGTGCAAAAGGCAGTAGGTAGCAAATGTGAACATAGTTAGAATAATCTAACTGTGTCTCGGGACAAGCCCTCACCATGCACAGTTAGAATACGTCCCATATACTTGCAATGTAGCAAATCGGAGTGGATCCACTCCGAAATGATTTTGAAGAATACAAAAGGAGTTGCATTAAAAATAACTACCAAATTAATCATAACAAACCTTTTTGAGATTGTATATGCCTTTTAACCTACAAATTAATCCATATATATACGAAAATTCAACTCATTTTCTCAACGTTTTTTCCTCGCTTCAAATTTAACGCCATGTTGACACTCGGAACTCTTTGGATTCTTCATAGAAAATGCAGAGAGTTCGAGTTATCGCCCGTGTTTATTTTGTTACATTGCGAATACACGGAACGAATTCTATCGTTAATCGGGTCCGTAGGACAATATCATTTTAACGATAGAACGTTCTATCTAATGTGAACATACCAGTAGCCTGGAAAGGGGGTACTGTTGGGGTCTTGGAGGTGTATTCCCTCCTTTAAGCCAGAAATCGTTTATTTTTTTGTGTATTCTGGAAGTCATTTTCCCCGAAATTTCAGTAAAATAGAATATAGCACCATTGCCTTAAACAGATGAATAGTGAACTTGTTTTAAATAGAATATTATATATTTTACAGATATTTTAAAGGGGATGGGTTGCGATCTCATTCAGCTTACACCTCCTTCTGACGGCTTTGAACATAGAATACATGGTGTACATTTATTCGAGCGATACTGTATCATGAAAATCAAATGCTCATGCTTGCATGAGCAGAATAAAATTATCCTAACCGAGGATCGATGCAAGTGTAATTGATTTTGGAAATACACTGTAAAATAATTATCATGATACATACGTGTCCGCAAAAGATTTTTTTAAAACTCGAAATAGACCTGCGAGCAATACAGGCCTTCTGATTTTCTCTACCGACAAGAAACTTCTGTATCGTTTTAAAAAAGTATAAATGACTCCCCAGGGCCCTATATATCGACTGTAGACAGGGGCAGAGAGAAAGAGCTAGTGACAGAATAGTCAGAATGTTTCAATGTATTGAACGAGTGAAAGATATACTTGAGTCTCTTTTTTTTCTTTTTTCTTTTTTTTTTTTTTTGGTTTTCTCCAATGACATAACACTTTTTATAACATATACAATGTAATTATGTGGTATACAGGGTGACCTATATACATATACCATATATATACATACATGTATGGCTATATGTAGGACAACTCTTACACTATCTATATTCCAGTTTGTCCGTCTGTTCATCCGTCTGCAGAATAACTTCAAATTTCTATGACATGTTCAGAAAATATACTATGAAGCAGATTCATTTGATAATGTGAACCAATGATTTTTGTTTAAAAAAAAGATTAATCATGGTTACTTTGAAGAAAAAAAGATATAATATAGATCATTGAAAAGACCAATATTGGAGAGAGAGCGAGAGAGAGAATTGAAATAAATAGCCATGTAACACATTTAAACCATCATTGCTTGAGGACATGATACCCCGTACCCATCCACTCCCAATTCGTCCCTAAGTTTACACCGCATAAACAAATCCTTAAGGACCCTATACACTAAAGTAAAAAGAGAGAGAGAGAGAGAGAGAGAGAGAGAGAGAGATTCCTTCCAAAAAATAAAATCCTTCCTAATGCAAACCAGTGAGAGGCTTGAATACTTAAATCAGAATAATTAGTTGATAGCGGGCTAACTGATCTACGAAGAAGCTGTCTGCACTGAGCGTTAATTTGTTGGAATGGCAATCATTCAATTCAAAGCGAGATCCCAATTAAATATTATTGTTTTAATTAGCTTCAGGTTTCTCTAACTTACGATGTGGATGTTTCTTTTAATTATTTCAACCTCTTGACTACATTTTGTTTTCCTACAGTACAAATGTCAGAATTCGGTGTTATTGAAAAAATGCTTCAAAACTGAATTATTGTTTGGCACACTTTTACACAATTCATAGTTTACTAATTATTAAACATGTTGATTTATGGCATTTGTTCAATACAAAGCAAAAATCTTTCTCTCATCCCCCTCCCCCGTTAATATCCTCCCTTCATATAAAAGCTACCAATGCAGAGAAAAGTATATGAAGTTTTAATGTTATTTTTCAGTTAGGTAAGATTATTAAAAGCCTCCCATCTCAAATTAATTATAAGGCTTCAATACAATTACTCCGTAATAGGAGTGTCTTTACAACTTATATTTGTTTATAAATACCTTTTATTGGAGATCTTTAAATATCAATGTCTTAAGATCTACTCATTTTCTTTCCTAATTTTTTATTTATTTGAAAACATTTGCCTACACAACACAATTTCGCCTCATTTATGATAAATGTGTATATTTATTTTTTCCCACAAGCATTGCTGTTCTAAACATACAATACCAGAATAAACGTACATGTACCATGATTTCTTAATTTGTATAAATTCATAATGGCACCTATTCCATGAAATCAAAATGCGACAAAATGTCAAGAGGTTTGAGACTTAATCTACATGTATTCACATGAGCCTTGCATATTCGAGGAAACTCTATAATTTTTAGTATATATTGCGAGTAAATAAACGATTTCATGTAATGCAAAAACCTGTTAAGAAACATCTTGCTCAAGTCTTTAAGCTCAAGTTTCATCCCCTTTTCCCAACATTTCGTACGTCATGGATCTAAACAATAATTTGTTTTGCACTTAATGACAACACATGTTTTTCAGAAATTAGTGTGGCAGCCAGTTAACTTATATAGGCTCTCAACTATTTTTTTTCTTTCAAAATTCCGATGCTTTAATCCGACACTCTTTTTTTCGTCATGGATTGTTTTTGATACGTTCATATTTTATGTACAGATGTCCTGTTTTCCAGATATGTGCCCTTTTTTTGTTTCGTTCTCTACTTGTTTAGATCCACCCGTGTTGTTAGATTTAACGCTGCACGTCAATCCATCAGTTTATGTCTGCAAAGCTTTGATCCTCCCGCCCGGTACACTTATTGATACGCGCCTGTCTATAATATTTCGTTCTGCACAGCTTTGATCCGCCCTTGTGGTTCACAAAGTCTGTGTTTTATCGATACGCTCTTGTCGATACGTTAAGAAAGGGTGCTTTTTATCCAGTGTTATCAATCTTTTATAGACATATACACCTGGTCGATCAGTCAGGAACTTTTTTGATAAATACTTCACCACAGCCAATACGCCTCCAGAAATTAATCTCTCTCTCTCTCTCTCTCTCTCTCTCTCTCTCTCTCTCTCGTGTTAATTAATAGGTTATCAATCAAGAAGGTATTGAAAGAAAATAAAAGAAATATAATGAAAGAAAAAGTATTTTCGTAAAAAAAATATTCTACCAAGATGTCGAGATACACCTATGATTTTTTTATCCATAACTTTTTGTTTACTAGTAGATCCAAGCTTGTGACGATTTGAGATGGAATGATAAAATTTCGGCCGCACGCTTTTATATTCTTACCTGAATAATATATCAGACAATATTGGGTGAGCCAAATTGCAGTTTTTTCCCCCACAGACTATTAAGTTGAATATCGGAAAATTTATCATACATAATCATAAGAAAGACGTTGTCCTTTTTTGTCAACTTGAGATCCACCTCCCCACCCACCATTTACAAACCACGTAGTCTCCTCATTTGGCCGGGGGAGGGGGGGATATATGTACATTATAAGTAGACGCACTCTAATAATTTAATTTACCTATCAATCTAGAAACAAGCGTACTCACATATAAATACGTTATTCTAAAGACTCAATATGACATGTATATTGTAATATATCTAAATTACCTTCTCCCAAGGTGAATATGAAGATATCCATTAAAATCAGGAAAATTATTCCAAACATCTTCTCTCCGAATTTTGATGGAGCCCACCGCAGATATTTGGGTAATATTTTCCAATAAACACTTGTTGATGCCAGTGATTTTTGAGTTGCGTGCTTATATTTTTTTCTTTAACTTGTTGCAGACGATAGTTTTAGATCACGTGACTTTTGTGTGAGCGATAAAATATGCATGCTTTTTTTCTCTCTCTCAAACTTTTACATAATCTAAGCTTTATCTTGAAAGCACTTGTGGGTTTCAAGATAGGAGGAAACATTTTAAAGCAGTGAATCTTAAGAATTTCATACCTAAATGTAGTTTTCTGATGTCCGCTGTCCGTCTAACGACCCCCTCACATTGCGGTTGCTTTTTTTCCAGTCATAAACACGAAACCGGACATTGCTCTGAAATGAGCAAAATTCCTCGTCCTGTGAAATCTGTTTACTCACACTATTTTTTCTCCGAAAAGGATGATCGTTTTATAAGTCACGCATTTTATAAGAAAAGAACATCTCGATCTACATGTACCCAGTGCAAAAGGTATTCATGCACAGGTACATGTGCACATTAGCTCTCTCTCTCTCTCTCTCTCTCTCTCTCTCTCTCTCTCTCTCTCTGTGACTTTTTAAATTTGTAATACATTCAATTTGATCTATAATTTCAATAATTTACTAGTAATTGTTGAGTAAGGTGAATTTGATCCACAATAAAATCAGATTGTTTGATACATGTAGATATCTAGCTTAAACAAATCTCCATATAATATGTAATATATACATGTATATAAAATTGTTGTATAGATTTTATGCAATATGAACTCCATTCCCTCTTATATATCAAGAGCATTTTATGCGTTTAGTAAGTGTGTGATTGGGTGCAGATCTGCATGTCGGTTTTGATATAGCAGAAATTTCACATCGGGTTTATTTCATCTTAGACATTTAAAATGACTTGCGTATGCGGATTCTAGATACTATAAAAATATGAACACTTCCTGAAATTGTAATTTGCAAAAATAACGAATAAATGTTATGAGCCCACGACCTTTCGATCAACGAGCGAGCGCTCTACCTTGCATGGGTATAATGTTCAATTAAAATTAGGAAATCCATGACCCTTGGTCCGGGTGTCTGGCATCAGAGAAGGACTAAGTTAAAACTTAATATTCTTCATGGATATCCAGTTAAAAACTGTTGAAATTATTTTCATGAGCAATTTGCCCTATACCAATTTATTGAAACTCATGTCCCACGGTAAAGTTGTCATGTAATGAAAATACACCTTTGAAAAATCTTCTTTATTCATGTCAATCTAGCAATCGAACTTTTTGCCTGATTAAATGGATGCTTAACCCCCTCATATAAAAGGAATTTATGTGATCTGCCAGGGGGACATAACTCAGAATAAGACGGTATTCGTTATAGTATTTTGAGAAAATTCTTGTGCTTTTGAAATTCTTATTTAAACATGGAAAGGCAAGCTGTATGCATAATGACAATAAGCTGAGTCTTTATCCAAAAGTGTTTTCTTATAAGATCTTATAACGCCTTTCTACTTCGCATTTTTGGTTTTTTTCTTTAAAAAGGCATTATTACGTCATTTCAAAAGACATTGTTACACCTTTTTTGCGCGTTATATATATAAAACACCTTTCATTTTATCTTTCAAAATGAATAATCATTAATTACTAGCCATTTGTCATAATGCAGGCTTTAATTTTAATCAACTACTTTACAACTTTTATATTCTTATGATCGCATCAACTTTGAAAATAAACTAAATGATATATAATTTATATATTCTTGACAATCCATAAATGTATATATTATTTAAGAAATTATAATATATTAACGCATATATTGCAGAACAAAATACCAACATTTTTTTTAAAAATTCGTTTAGATATATATAACACTCTTTCTTGCATTGTCATGGCCGTAGGAACCGGGGAGGGGGGGGGGGGGGAGGCCGTGCCCCCCCCCCCCCAATAATTTTGACGACATATAGAACATTATAGAAAACATAACTACTATATGCTTGTGCCCCCTCAATTATAACGTCTGATGACTTTTTTTTTGCTTGACAAGGAATTTTGGTAGTTGATAGTGCCCCCTCCCACTGAAAATGTATGGTTGTGTCCCCTCAAAGTGAAATTGCTTCCTACGGACCTGATTGTTATCTAATCAAATGACCTCTTCGTTATAAATATATTCAACGATTTCTTGATAATAAAGACTTAGCAAAGGGGAGTAATTGAATCTTAAACCACCTTTTGGTTGGTTAGTCTAATTTAGATTTTGAATCTAATCTCGTATTTTGAATTTCGAACGAGCCTTTTTGGCTTTCGTACTAATGAGTATTCTTTAAATGACATCACAGTCAGCTGACGTTACTTATTTTTCCTTCAATAAAAAAATATACCCCTTACTTTTGTAATCAACCCTTGTTGATTATATAGGTAGGGGTATATTTTTTTATTACAGCGGATTTTTTTTTTTTTTACAGCGGATTACATCTCTGACTATTCATACAAATACTATGCGTTACTTTTTAAGGAATGTTGATATGATGCTGTGTGTGAACTACAAACTTGGGCACGATAATTCTCAAGTACCTACTAGTGTAACCTAGTGTAACTACGGAAATCTTCATATAAAGATTTATGTACATTTAACTCAATAAATACAAACTTTATAAAACCTTACAGGTAGAGTCGGCAAAATACCATCACCTCACAAAAAGTTACCAAGAGGGTCTCTGAGCCTCTGTACCCCCCCCCCCCGTTTTTTTTTTAACTTTATACATTGCAATTGGCATAATTTTTGCGATTTTAAGACAGACATCGTTCCTCTAGATCTAAGATGAGACTGCAAGTAGATTAAAAATAATCATGTACCAAATCATGGATATTTTTTCAATAAGCCGTATCTGAGCTAAAAAAAAAATTATGATATGAGATTGAGTGTAGATATACATGTACATGTACACGATATAATGTTATTTACGTACAAATTTAAAATTTCACCGATTTTGAACTCAAAAACCTCACGATTCTATAATCAAATTGACCTGAAATGTGTCATTTAAATTTAAATGTGAAGTCGGTAAATAAATCGTTTATTGTTTTAATTTTGAGACATCTTTGAAACGCGGTTGATTTAAATTGTGTAATTGACAGAAAAGTCCTATCTATACATAAAGTAATAGATAAAAAAGAAAGATATTTTTAATTTTGGTAATTTGAACTTAGTCAAAGATACGCCATATATGACTTTAAATAAACTTTAATGACCCTAGCTTACCATAATGTTTAAAATAGAAGTAGATGAACAGTTACTTGATAGAGAGGAGGTAACCCTTCAGAAAAAAAAATCTTCTTGCACACCATTCGACATTTTCACCAAAAAGAACATTTTGTACATCAATAGGGAGACAATTAGAGAGACCAGAGGTCACATATAGTTTATACAATTGCCAAGACCAGAGGTCCTCTTATATAAAACATAATTAGGCAGACAATGTAGAGGTCACGTAAAGTTGTGAATGAATACGGAGACCAGAGGTCTCCATATATTGTACATTACAGTGTTATAGGGTGACCAAATATCACAAAAAGTTTATATGGATGCAGAGATCAGGCTTCTACGATACTAGACTCTGTTTAACTAAAAGACAACGCAAAAACAAAATAAAGGCAATAATTATGGAAATAAGCTTCTGAACATTTAACCATATGAAGAAAAATTACTTCTTTTTACTCCATAATTTCTCATATCTTACATAAACAAAGATTGCAACAGTTCTTTTATATCATAACAAAAATAAAGATTATGAAATATGTGGAGATAACGAACAGTATTCGAGCTCAAAAATACATTAAACATTACAAAATAGGAGCGGAGCAAATATGGACCTCCTAAATATCAGAGGTGGGATCAGGTGCCATGGAGGAGTGAGTATCCCATGCCGACCGGTCACACCCGCCGTGTGCTCCTTATCATGTTCGGGAAAAAACGGGAAAATCCGTGGACAACTCAGTGTGTGAATAATGGGCTAACATTCAGTTTGAAAAAAAAGTCAGTCAGCATTTGACTTAATTGCCAACAAGGTCATTGTATCGACCATAGAACTTACGAAATGATAACTTTAAACGAGACTACTGATATTCTTGCTTCATCAACTTCTTTGTCAATAACTTACCTCGTTTTAAAAATTGTTCAGAACATGCTCTTCGGTATTGCATCAACTGAGAGATATCATTAAGGAGACCAGAGATCAACTTAAAAAGTACATTAATAGGGAAACAAGATGTTCAATATAAAGTAATCTCTGGTCGCCCTATTCATGTACAATATACAATATTAGGTGATCTCTGGTCTCCCTAATTATGTACAAAATAAGGTGTCCACTGGTCTCCCTATTGATGTACAATATAAGGTGACCTCTGGTCTCCCTTATTATGTACAATATACAGTGTCCTCTGGTCTACCTATTGATGTACAATATAAGGTGACCTCTGGTCCCCCTAACTATGTACAACATAAGGTGACCTCTGGTCTCCCTATTGATGTACAAAATAAGTTACCTCTGGTCTCCATAATTATGTACAATATACAGTGTCCTCTGGTCTCCTTATTAATGTACAATATAAGGTGACCTCTGGTCCCCCTAATTATGTACAATATAAGGTGACCTCTGGTCTCCCTATCGATGTACAAAATAAGTTACTGCTGGTCTCCCTAAATCTTAACAATATAAGGTATCCTCTGGTCTCCGTATTTATGTACAATATAAGGTGACCTCTAGTCTCCCTATTGATGTACAATATAAGGTGAACTCTAGTCTCCCTATTGATGTATATAATAAGGTGACCTCTTGTCTCCCTCTTGATGTACAATATACAATATAAGGTGACCTCTTGTCTCCCTATTGATGTACAATATAAGGTGACCTCTGGTCACTCTTATTATTTCCAATATAGGGTGTCCTCTGGTCTCCCTTATTATGTACAATATACGGTGACCTCTGGTCTTCCAATTGATGAACAATATAAGTAACCTTTGGTCTCCCTATTAATTACAATATAAGGTGTCCTATGGTCTCTATATTGATGTACAAAATAAGTGACCTGTGGTCACCCTCTTGATATACAATATAAGGTGACCTCTGGTCTCCCTATTGATGTACAATATAAGGTGACCTCTGGTCTCCCTATTGATATACAATATAAGGTGGTCTGTGGTCTCCCAAATTATGTAAAATATAAGGTGACCACTGGTCTCCCTATTGATGTTCAAAATGAGTTACCTCTGGTTTCCCTATTGATGTATAAAATAAGTGACCTCTGGTCTCCCTAATTCTGTACAATATAAGGTGTCCTCTGGTCTCCCTATTGATGTACATAATAAGTGACCTCTGGTCTCCCCTTTCATGTATAATATAAGGTGACCTCTGGTCTCCATATTGATGTACCATATACAACATAAGGTGATCTTTGGTCTCCCTAATTATGTACAATATAAGATGACCCCTGGTCTCCCTATTGATATACAATAAATGGTGATCTCTGGTCTCCCTAATAATGTAAACTATAAGTCGAATACTGGTCTCCCTATTGATGTACAATATAAGGAGTCCTTTGATCTCCGTATTGATGTACATTATAAGGTAACCTCTGGTCTCCCTAATTATGTACAATATAAGGTGTCTTATTGTTTCCGTATTGATGTACAATATAAGATGGCCTCTGGTCTCCGTTTTGATGTTCAATAGAAGGTGACCTCTGGTCTCCCTAATTATGTATAATATAAGGTTACCACTGGTCTCCCTATTGATGTACTATAAAAGGTGACCTCTGGTCTCTCTATTGATGTACAATATAAGGTGGCCTCTGGTCTCCGTTTTGATGTGCAATAGAAGGTGACCTCTGGTCTCTCTATTGATGTACAATATAAGGTGGCCTCTGGTCTCCGTTTTGATGTGCAATAGAAGGTGACCTCTGGTCTCCCTATTGATGTACAATATAAGGTGACCTCTAGTCTCCATTTTGATATGAAACATTAGTTTACCACTGGTCTCCACATTGGTGGTATCTGGTGACTGTTTTGCACACTCTTGTCTCCTTATTGACATACAATACCTGATGACCTCCGGTCTCCGCATTGACATGACACATTATTTTATCATTCCATATGCAAGATATTGCTCAAAGCAAGCTTGTGACAATAAATTTGATGTGACCAGGGATGGTCCCTCCCATGCATCTGATCCTATCTCAGGAATTTAGGAATCTGTGTTTTATACTTTGTTTTCAAATTCCTTTGTTAATAGGATTTTTTAGATCAATCTCTGTTTGGTATCTCAACCTTTTTATTTGAATTTGTAGTTGAAAATCAGTTAATTTGAAAACAAATTCAGGATATTAAAACTAAATTTGGACTTAATTTTATTCTCATTTAAAGTTCTTAAAGTCTGTGGATTTTCCTTTTTCTATTGGAACAGATGTAAAATAGGATAAATTATAGAGTGAAAGAAATATTTTCATTCTTTTTGCCTTTATTTTTTTTTCGTTGTCTTTTAGTTAAGCAGAGTTAAGTATCGTAGATGACTGATGATAATACTGAACCATTGACCTAAATTGAACACTTTAGGTCTATGACTGAACGAATGAAGAAAAAGTCTCAATTTCCCTATGTGCAATTTTTAACACGGTAACAAAGACATTGGTTCTCAAACTGCTGATAATAACACATGTATTGTTTGATAAAGTTAACCAGTGAAACATTTGTGAAGGGGGGGGGGGGGGTCCGACACCGAGCCTTAATTATGACATCAACTTGTTGTCATGTTTTAATGTTTAAAACAATACCTTCAGGTCTCTGTTAATCTATTAGAAAGATCTATATAAAGTTATTAATATAATTGTATTGGAGTAAGACAGAGAAAACTGTTTTTTTAAATAATTAATCAAAATATAGGGTGACCTAGGGTCACCATATTGATACAGATGAATTTACTTTTGTGCCTTTAATGCCTGAAGAGTTCATATAATGTTTTATTACTACGCAAAATGACGAACTATTTGCGGGTGACCCGATGTCCTAGTTGAGCGTACGTTTTATCCTCCTGCGAAAGATTCTAATGTTTGAAGATAGGTAACACTACTTCTGTAAATGTTTATAAACGGATAAATTATTTCCGGATTGTGATCCAATAATCAACAAGTTGTTTTCGGTGTCATACGCAAGTCCGTATGGAATCAAATTCAAGCCGGTTTCTGCCGGCTCTAACAACAGTGCAAGGAATTTCCCGTCTTTGTCGATGATTTGTACTGACCCAGTTGTAGCACAATTAACGATGATGTTAGAAAGAGCATCCGTGCAGACTGCCCTTGCAAGCAAACGTCTGTAACGGAAAGGTGGTCCTCTGTAAGAAAATCTAAAATCTCCGTCACGTGTCATTGCAACTATGGCCGTCTTAATGTCAGAAATGATGACATCACCGTTCTTATTTTCTGTGATATAATGAGGGATACCAAATAGGGGTTTGTTTTTGGAGTCTTGCTGTTTAAAGACAGTGAGTTCTTTTCCAGCACTGTTGAATCGCGAGACCTTCGAATTCAGAGTACCCGCTGTCTTCATCCCTACCAACAGATCGCCATTGGATGGAGAGTTGTAGATACACCATGGAGTTAACGGCTCTTTAATACTAAACAGTACCGTCTTACTTTTGCCATCGCTTGACAGACGGCATATGTTGTTTCCAATGTCTAGATAAAGAAGGTCTCCGGATGATGTCACGGTGTGGATCCCGTGGCCTTTGTTGCTGACGTCAGAGATTGTGTGAAGCAAGGTACCTGATTGGTCAGCCAAAACAAGCTTTGAAAAATCATCGCTGACCCAGAGCCGATCTGATGAGAGAATCGTGATGTGGGACGAGTACTTGATTCCAGGCACTGGAATAGACTTTTCCAACACGACTTCCGGTAATAGTTTCAACATTGCGTTTCTTGGACAAAGGTATACAAGATTCTTTTTGACCAGGGAAATCACCTTGCAACAGAGTGTTCATATGCGTGCCAGTATATTAAAGTTGCCTAGAACCAAAATCTACAAAAACCAAAATTAGAAAGTGATCATTGTCACTGGTCATTTTGTTAAAAAAAAACATTCTGATTCTGTACACAAATTCTCTAGGTTGATATCAAAAAGTTGCTTGAGTTTCTCATTGTCAATATCAATATAGTTTTTGGAGACCAGATCTTCCATCAATCTGTTGGAATTTCTATGGGTCTAATTGTGAGCCGTTATAAGCACACCTATATTTGGTATTCACATGAAGCAGAATTTATACAGACACATTTACATGTAAAGAAGGTCTCATGCTGTGGCCTTCAATTCGACATTGAGATGACGTTTTAACATTTAACAGTATTCTTTTTCATTCCTGCGACCATGACCAGGGACACAAGGTGGGTGTGACCGGTCGAGAGGGGATGCTTACTCCTTTATGGCACTTAATCCAACCTCTGTTTTCAGAGGTCCGTGTTTGCCCTGCTCACAATATGTATTACACTTCTGTGAATGATTATTCGTTATCTTCACATGTCAATGTGTTTGACATGACACATGTATTTAAAATCTGGTTAATGCTACTTTCATATTTTTCGGTTTTAAATTTTCTAAGACTTAGTTCTCCAATTTTCAAGAATTTGTCTAGTGCAAATGTAAGTTATGCCAATAATTTTGTGTTAAGAGTAATGACTCTGAAGTGCTAGTATTGCTGCCTTAACAAGTTTCCTCACAAAAAAAAAAAAAAAAAAAAAAAAAAAAATTAATGTACCTTACCAGACATTTGTGCAAGATACCAAGGAATGTTATTTCCTTAATATAAACCCATTGGAAATCACTAGTATTTCCAATATCATAATTTTTTGGTGTCTTTATCTACTTAGACATTTTGAAAACAGTTTAAAAATTACAAAATAATGATAATTATGATTAATTTGTTGTATACTGTGAAGAGATACAAAACAGATATTCGAGCACCGTGTCGTCAGACCCAAGTTCATAATAATTTAAAGTTACACGGAATGAAAGCAATGCACTTCAATGTAAGTGTGAATTCGTTATAAGAGTCTTCACTGTTATCATGCTTTACTGTGTGTTTAGATTTTCTAATTCCTCACCTCCAAGTTTTCCCCATGTTCTAATATATACATGTACATGTAGGAACATTTATTTTTTGTTTTTGTTTTTGTTTTTTTATTTATTTTTTATCTACTAGAATCTATGCAATTCCTGTTCTCCTCAATTTCCATTTCTAGTTCAATTGCTACTTAGACTATTTTTAGATTTATTTACACGACATGTCATTACTAATGTCTAATATAGGACATATTGTAATTTTTTTGAGGTTTGTATTCTATATACATGTATAAATTTTGCAACGGGTTCGTAAGACTGAAAATTCAACTGGAAAAAAATTAATCATATGCAAAAGTTAATTTGCATGTAGATTGGATGGATGTAAATTTTGCATTAGGAGTAAATACATCTATCTTGCCCCCCCCCCCCCCCCCCCATTCGCGTTTACAAAACATGCACTTAGGTGCAAATTTGTGTAAAAGTACGTAAAATTTCCTTACCATGTGTAAATGGGCGATTGTGAACAGGGCTTTTAATTCAATTTATTTATTGATTCACCAAACATGTTGGCATACAAACATGTTACATACAAAATGAAAAAATACAGTGTGTTTTCAGATTACTAAAGTACATACTAAAGTACATTAATAACATATTCAAAAAGTATACCAACGCCATTCCATGAAATTAAAACCGATGGAACTGTACATGTAGTACTTGTGTATCCTGATGTTAAAACAATTTTTGGTAGAATTAAACAGAAAATATTCTGTTCATAAAAATCAAAACTTTTATAGTCCCTACCAAGCTTACTTCACCTCACTTAAATCAGACCTCTAAGAATGGATTACGTGGCATTTGTTTAAGAGTTGCATTCTAAAAGTATAACTGACAGACAGATAGACAGGCAAATGAAATGTTCCAAATACGGAAGTTCTATTTCCTTGACCAGAAGAGTTAACAAAATACATTTTGAAACAACTTTATGTGGACTTATTTAAAATATTATATTTAAAAGACTCCGAGCTTACTGTCTTAAATTCTTGTTATATTTAGTCTGTCGCGTCAAATGGAAATAGTTATTGATTTTGCTGACAAAGGCTACCACGGTATTAGATTACAGTTTGATTGTTTCCGTTTATGATATATATATATATCTATGAGCTGAGAGGGAGAGAGACAGAGAGAGTATCGCATTAACTCAAATGTTTATGACAAATAATTAGGTATCCATTGTACAAGCATACATTGTATTAATATCAGTCAAAATGCGTTACTCTTTCTAATCCTCCGGCAAATTTCAGGAGTGTGGGCGACGCCCCCTCCCCCGTCAACAAACCTTGATGAGTGAAGTGAAGTATCCTTCATTGAATCTTCTTGCTGTCTCGTTTCAGGAAACAGATTATGTTCGTCAGTAACTAACAAACACATTTTAGCAAGAGTTATCCCGCTTGCACCTTGTACATTTATATAAATAAACTCGTGTAGGTCGATTAAAGTGACAGATCTAGACCATCTAGTTTTAAAATTCATAGGCGTCGGAACCAGGGGGTGAGGTGGAGGGGGGGGGGGGCTTAGCCCCCCTCCCCACTTTTTTTGCAAAGATAGCCATAATATAGGCATTGAAAATTGGGGCTTACCTTTTTTGTTGGGTTAGCCCCCCCCCCCCCGACTTTCAATTTGCTTCCGACGCCTATGAAATTCAAGTACATGTACAATGGATAAGGTGGGTATGCAGTTAATATTGCAAGATCCAAATGTTTCATTATATATTATTCAATTTGATGTGGGCAATGCAGTAGGGAAATGATTATGCATGTTTAACAACTATTAATTTCTTGCTTTATAGATCTTTTTTTTTTTTTAAATCTTGTTTAATAGTATAATACATTGCCACAAGCGATGCTAATATTTAATCGATAAGCATTTGTTTTATCCGGGGAAGGGATACAGTGATAAGCAAAAAATTCTCCGGTTAATTTGATTAAATAATTTCTGCATGAAAGATTTCATATCAAAAATATTTTCGATGTTAGTTATGAATCAGCTTCCTCTGTTAATTATTCTGTACGAAAGGTCATGTCTAATTTGTGTGTGTGTGTGTATATATATATATATATATATATATATATATATATATATATATATATATATATATATATATATATATATATATATATATATATATATATATATATATATATATATATATGCTTTTTTCCAGAGTTTTGTACTTTTCGATGTTAGATATACAATCATGTAAAGTGTAAATTTGCCCTTCTGCGCGTGTATTATAGAAATGGGTGTTTTAAATTGTATGGCGCATTGGTCATTTTTCCATTGTAGTTAATTACCCATGTTTGAAAATTATGTGACATTTACAGGCATTCAAGTTACTAGATTGTATAGTCTTCATTTAATTTAGATATATCAACGACGTATTATTAATTAACAATAGTTATTTCCATTCATAAGTCGACACAATATATCCCAGTGAGCTTGAAATAAAAGATACCACGTCGCACAGAGTCTGGCACATCTGTTTCATACATGTATATGGATATTTTACCAGAAATAGACGTTAATGGGAATCTAACAACCAAGCTTTATGATAAACGCAATAACTTTAACTTTGCGATCGTCAACTTCCCTTACATGTACTTATGCTGAGTTATGTAGCAATATATACCCTTGTCACCTGCACATGTGGTGTACATCGATACGCAAGAGCATGCTCTACGTATGAACAATTTCTAAAACGAGGTACACTGTAAGTTATTGACAAACAAATTGATGAAACAAGAATATCAGCAGTCTTTAAGTCATCATTTCGTAAGTTCTATGGTCGATACAATGACCTTGTAAGCAAATACAATCTATCATTATAAGTTAGTGATGGGAAATTGGAATTTTTTTTCATAATCGATATCGGAATAATCGGATGCACTATAATCGATCAATAATCGATCGAATTCTAATAAAAAAAAATTGTTCATTTTTGAATGAAAAATAATTGGGTAAAAATTCTGAGTGATTTTTAGAATACATTTTTGATATATTTTGTATCATTGGATTCATTTATTAGATAATTATTTAGGATTTAGTTAAATTCAAAGAAGAATGAATCAAAAATCAAATAATTTGCTTTTAACTAATATTTCAAGTAATCGATTATCAAAATTATAATCGATTATCTATAATCGAGGACCATTTCGATTAGATAATCGATTTAATCGATTAATCGGTACATCACTATTATAAGTCAAATGCTGACTATGTTTTTCATACTGATTGTTAGGCCATTATTTACACATTGAATTGTCGACGGATTTTTCCGTAATTTCCCGATCATGACAAGGAGCACACGGCGGGTGTGACTGGTTGGCAGGGGATGCTCACTCCTGCGTGGCACCTGTTCCCACCTTTATGTATTTGAAGGTCTGTGTTTGCTCTGCTCCCGATTTGTATTGTTTTAATGGATTTTGAGCTTGAATACTGTTCGTTATCTCCATATTTCACATAGTGAAATACTCTTAAATATCCAAATACTCTGGAATATCCAAAGTCAGTTTCAGAAAATAAAGTTGCTTTCGCGACCCCTTGAACATTGGATAGAAGAATTTTAAAGAAATGTATTGATTTTTTTAATTTCATTTTTTAGGATATTATATCGGATATACATTACACTCAGGCCATTAAAAAATCAAACATTTACATCTTGTTAGAGGGGATACTTTCCCAAAAATAGATTCAAGCACCTTTGATTTACCCTCAGAATATGATCTACTTAACGGATTTGATTATTTACTGGGGGGGGGGGGGTAGGCACACTTCTCTTAACTAATTGCCTTCCTTATAAATGTACATGCATGAATATTCCTCTCCGCATAATTTGATCCGTATACGCATGATGTTTCTGGGGTATTTACATTAAGTTTTTTTTTGGTTGTTGCTGCTTTACAATGGAAATTTTGATAACTCTAAAAAATTTCAAGGGGGTTTGTGACGTAATCAGGTTTTTTTTTTTTTTTTTTTTTTTTTTTTTTTTTTTTTGGTGCGTGGTTAAGTACGTGTATCAGACGTGCATTCTATCAACAGCTGTATATACATGTGCGTACCAAGTACGCAATTACATGTACTTTTACGTTGTAAAAAAAGTCTATTAAAAAAAAGACTTATAGATGTCGTGGCAATATATACATCTCATTCTTATAATTTACATACAGTAATGTGGTGATTAATTGTTAAAACATGTAATACATGTACATACGATATCTACAACTTAGCGATGATTATCAGTTAATACAGTATTTAAAAAAAAAAAAAAAAGATGTGAGATTCCAAACATGAGAATACGTGCATAACACACTAAAATGAATTTAGAAAATATACAAGCGGAACTTTAGCTTACGACTATTTTTTATAACATTTTACATATATTGTGACAATATTGTATATATAGGATATATATAAAGCACAAAACTCGATCGTTGGATGAAAAAATAATCAACACATCAGAAAAAACGCTTTTATACTGAATTATTAATTATTCAAGTTGAAAATTCACCAGCTTGCAGGGTTTAAACCCACCACTTTCTTCCCACCAGGAATCCCAACAGGGCTTCGTCATAGACTCACACTGAGAGCCTCATTGCAACCCACCAAATAATGAAAAAAAAAAAAACATTGTCTTATTTACTTTCACATCGAACACCCCCTATATAGCTCCGCCCTGTTGCATATGGGATTTATTTCACGACACAGGAGTCAAATGACAGATTTTTTTTCGCGAGTGTGGAGAACGAATGAAAATAAAAGAAAACCCTGTTTTACTGGTGAAATAAATTCACCAAAAAAAAAAAAAAAAAAAAAAAAAAGACATTGAATTTCATTCTATGAAATAGATGTCTTCTTGTTGAAATTCAAAACAAATTAATATATGTCCGTAAACTGACGCAAAAGATAAAGAACTAATGACTCTGCATGAATAATTATACATCTTTCATTAACTCTGAAACGTAAAATTCTTAATTTCACAATATAATACATGTAACTCTGAAAAAAAAAAATAGTGGGGGTTCCGGACACCCCGACTGCCCTTGTCTGTAAAAATATCAATTTTATACAATATATATATTTAGATCACTGAAAATGTAATTATGTACATGTGCACTTACGGGGCGCTCTGACATTATTGAAAAGTGTAAATTCTAAAATAAGTTGAAGATTGTGTTACATGTACCATGTTTTGACACAGAAACTAACAGTGGCATAATAGAGAGAGAGAGAGAGAGAGAGAGAGAGAGAGAGGAGCCGCATGCTGTACACAGAAGAGCTGGTGTTCGTTCATCGATCGGAAGTCGCTCTATGGAGATCGATATCTCCCTTTACAAAACAAACTTATTCTGCTACAGAGTCTGGTGTAGAAACACGATAGTTCACCATAGTTAGGGGGGAAATAACCTCACAGGCCGCGTGCAACCCAGGCTTCTGATTCCCTCCAAAGGATCTATATACACAGGCGCAACCCACCCCCGCCCGGGAAGTGTGTAATGTGAAATCCTCTCGTGGAGAATTTTTTAGTGCATTTTTATTGGTCGATTTACATTTAGTAAACACATCAACTCGTGAACAGAAACTATCAGCACCTTCTGTTTGTAACACATTTCTGAGTCATTGAGAATGGGATAAAAACGCGATTTTTTTTCTCTTTGTTTTTTGTGGTGACGATTGTGGTGTGTGGTTTCAAGGACAATTAGAAAATGCCTGTGCGGAGAGGTCATGTGGCCCCACCGAACATCTTCATTGACACGATAATCCGGAAATTTGATGGTCAAAGTAAGTTACGGTTTAGTAGTTTAGACTTACCATTCACGTTTCAGGCGGGAAGAAGTGTCACTTGTATTGTCACGAGTGACGAGGGCACATGTGACGTTTGGAAACCACCAGAATTGTGTGTGGTATGAGCATCGCTTTTTACGTTGTATACATTCCGGTATTTATTCATTACTTACGTTCAAAATGCAGGTACGGTACATTTTAAAATTTTATAGGAGTGGATCTTTGAGTATTTAAAATACAACGTCGGCGATATATAACATAATAAATAACATTTAAATATTCTATTTATTTGTCTGTTTAGATGAGTATAGAAATTGAAAGTTGACAATCTGTTATTACGTAATATATCAGACTCTAGACATAATTAATGTCGCCGTATCGGATCCAATGTTATCAAGAAAGGTTTTTTTTTCTTTCCCCGATTTTTTTTTAATAACCTTTTTTGATATCACAATTTATAATGGGCTGGCAGATTTTAGAAGTTATCATTCTGGCCTTGATAATAACATTAGATAATGAAAAAGTCCTTAATTGGGAAGAAAAAAATGACAATGCTAATGTTGGACAAAGACATAAAAATGTTGCTGATATATTGTCCTCAACTGGGAACAAAATAATCTGTCCTTATCTACCCCCCCCCCTCCCCTACACATACACACACAGAACTCAGTGGCGGATTTAAGGGGGGGGGGCGCACCCGGCGCGCCCCCCCCCCCCCAAAACTGTCAAAGTTAGCGTAAATCATAGTTTCACCAAGAAAATGTAAAAATGTGTACTTGGTAGACCTCATTTTTACCCTACAAAATGTCTAGAATCCAGGAGCTTCCGGGGGCTTCGCCCCCTGGGCCCCCACCAGGGCTTCACCCTGGACCCACTGGGGGCCTCAAGACGGCCCCCAGACCCCCTGCCTACTTTCTGCGCCCCCCCTAACTTCAATTCCTGGATCCGCGCCTGGAACTTCTGGACTTGGGCATTTTTTTCTTTTAGCTTGAAGAAGAAAATGAATAATCTGTCCCTCATAATATTGGAATTACATAGTCTGTCCTAAAATGGCATGAAAATAAAATATCTGACACCCCAAAAATTATAGGCAGGCCCCCCCCCCAAAAAAAAAATTGTCATCCCCTTAGAGAGTAAGACTGGGATATTTCTTAAATGGACTGAAAACGTTCCAATAAGAATTTGAAAGATTGAAGAAACATCTGCTCCATTAGAAACAAATATATGATATATATACTGTACATGTATATTCACCAAATGCTAGCAATGAAAAATTGTTCATGTAATTCCTCCATACATAATAAATACAATGTATGAAAATATATATGGAAATTTAATTTTAATTTTTAAAAAAATGTATCATTGAACAGTGAATACATACTCTGATTAAACTCTATATATAAAATACATTTGTACAGCATGATATTTTTTTGCCAAGGAGAAGAAATTTATGTACAAGTATAAAAGTCAATAGGCTATATATAATAAGATGAAACACATCTTAGAGAGAAAGTTTGGGAGTTGATCCCTTTTGACATTTCCTCTCGGAGATAAGAGGCTAATTAAATCTTTGCAATGTATATTTATCCTATATATATGTTCAGATATCAGCCTTATTATTTCTGGTTTTTCATCTCATTGTATTTTCTCATGTTATAGATAATTCCCCTACATCGCTTCATTAAATCGCAAGTGCCTTGGGGTATGGTAGTAAATTGGTATTTATAATGATACAGGGTTATTTGGGTGGCTGATGTATTGTTTGGCTGTATGAAGGTCAGAGAAGGGGAAATATTTAAGGTTCTTCGATACTCTGATAAGAGAGGTAACTCTTAATGACATCAATGTCCATTTATTCCTTTATGAATTTTTCAAGTTGAAGTCTGTCTTTTTTGTCCAATTTTGCCCTGCAAACAAATATACTATTGTTTGTGTTTTACTTAAATATATACATTTCTATTGGAAAATATCATAAGAATTGAAGAAACATTTTATATGAGTAAAAAAGAGAGTTTATGAACCTTAAATATTTATTGTATATCTGTTGAAAATTGAGATAAATAGTCATGTGCACATTTTCTGTTTTTGGGGTGCAAAGATGAAATAGTTGTGTCTATGAAGTTGATGTGAAATTTGATTCAGTTAAGGTGAGATAATCAGGTGCATATGAGAAGTCTATCGAAAGTAAGTGAATATAGTCATGTGCAGATGTTGTCTATTGGAAGTAGAAGTGAAATTTATATCTATATTTGTAAGTAAAGGGGAACTATAGTCATGTTGTGGAAGTAGAAATGAAATAGTCATTTTATATCTATATTTGAAAGTTAAAGTGAAATAGTCATGCACACATGTTGTCTATTGGAAGTAGAGGTGAAATAGTCATTTTTTGTCTATGAAAAATAAGGGGAAATAAGTCAACGTGTACGTTTTGTCTATTGAAAGTAGAAAATTGAAATAAACTCATTCCTTGACATTTCACATGTTTAAATATAGAATCTTAATTGAACAAGGAACACTGCATAACCGTACAAAAGGTTTTGGGGCTGGGGGGGGGGGGGGGGGGGGAATGGATGGAACCGGGTAGGAGACTGAACCAGATGGGACCATGCAGGGTCCATAGGGTGTTTGAAGAAAGAAGATATGTTTCAAACAGAAATTTTACACAATGGTGTTTTTTTCTGGTCAGACAAAGTAAAGATCACTGCATACAACATGTACAATTTACCCATTGCTCTCAGTGGGTGATTATAGTTAATATAGAGGTCAAGAAGAGGAACCTATATTGTATATTTCTTGTCTGCTGAAAGATTTCCCATATTTTCCCTCTGAATCAGAATATATCTTAACTTTATCACGGAAGTATGTTGCTTTGATTTTTTTGGGGGGGGGGGGGGGGGGCATTTTAACCTTGCAAATACTTGGGCTCATAGTGTCCTATATGGTAAACTTCCTCACAATTTATTAGTTATTGATATGTCATTTCCAAGCCTATGTATTGGACTAAATACTAAGTAAATTCAGATTTTTGATCTGAAAAGTAGGTTTTTTTTTAATTTTTCAAGGTTTTTGATAAAAGTTTGTATGTATCATCTGTCCTTGATTGCAGAAAAATATGATGCTATTTCACAAATTTTGTAATTGTAACATGATACATGTATATGACTTTTCCAAAACAATTTATATGTCAAGTTTTTCAAGGTCTTTTTTGATTAAAAAGTAACCATCAAAGTCAAACATTACTGGAGCTTTGTGTACCAAACAAAAATGTTATTGGCTTATAAAGGAGAAAATTCTGATTTTGAACTAAATTATCAGCTAAAGATCAGTAATGAAGTGAAAATATATGATATAAATGTAACTATTATGTAGTCTTTAAATGTATTTTTTGATGCAGGTAGATCAATTTGAGAAAGTATATGGAATAGAACCAATTGTTGTTCATCTAGAGCATTAAACTATAGTTATATGTCAATGAGTGCTAGAGGGATTAATTCAAAAGTCTGGTAATTTGTTTATAATGCCTCATTTTAAGGACATTACAGCACAAGTAAAAATTGATTGGAGACATTATTTCCATTATTATGAAACGAAAAGGAGGGAAAAAAATCCAAATTTGATTTGTGCTCTTCATTTTAGTAATTTAAAGACATTTATTAACACTGTAGAACCACATCATAAGTGTTTAAATATTGAATCCTTCTACCGTTGTTATTAGCAAGGAAAAATTTGAAAATGATATTTTCACAATTATTATGGATAATTTTTTTTTTCAAGTTAGGAAATCTTGGAAAGGCCCAGATTAATTGATAATATTAATCAAGGGTGATATATGTATATCTGTCGCGCCTTATATTTTAATTGGTTCTAAGAAGAAATAAGTATAATTTATAAGAAAGAGATTGATTCATTGTCGTAGTTTTACTTCCGTTACAAGATTATATCACTCTTATGAGATGGCACTGCTTGCCTGTGAATTCCGGCTTTGAATTTTAAGACCTTTACTCAGAAGTCAGGGCCATATGTTCGATTTAAATTTTTCATAATTTCTGTTGTAATAATTTAATACTACAAGGTTGGAGCTAAATTTTTTCCAGGTTGACTAGACTTAAGTTCCCCAGACATTTCATCCAGAAGGTGATTCGCATGCAGATTATTAGTGTCCAATTGCTTACCAAGACTCTACAGTACTGCATACAAATTGGCCCACTAGAAACTTGATTCAAGGTCACAGCAATGAAGATTTACCAAGGGGACATCTTTGGCTACTGAATTAGTTTAAGTCAAGGGAAGAGAAGATACACTTGGGACAAAGATTTCACATAAGGATCTGTTTTGAACTTGGGCAAAAATCACCTATTACATATGTAATTATCCAAATTAAGGCACACTATGGGTGAATCTTATAAAACCAGATTCAGGTCAAAGCTAAGTGATGATATATAACCTCTGATCAAGGATATTACAGAAAGATTTGATTTGTATTTGACTTTTTAAATATTTCCCTTGTTCCTCCAAGCAATTTAGTGTTTGTTCTTGTTTTAGGGTACATTACTGAACATTGTGGTTTTACCTAAAGCCACTGTGAGGGCCAGAGGGAGAGAGGGTATAATTCCATTAAATCCATTTAACTAAAATCAGATTATATGGGGTGGGGTTGGGGGGTAATTAAGTACATGGAAGTACTCTGTGGGTGAAGTTTGAACCAGATTGGGCCAGAGGGAGAAATTAAGGGATTAAAGGTGTAATCCATTCAGGTTATTGAATACCAGATTATCCAGGGAAAAGGGGGGGGGGGGGGTTATACTTGAAGAGGGAGTGAAATCTACAGGACACAGGTCTGTAGAGAAGAGCCAAATGAATTTATTGTTTATATTGAATGGCTTTGTTTGATTGGTGTATGTGGTTTGATGAAAGTTAAGGGTGATTTGTGACTGATATATATGTATGTATTAAGTAGAGAATGAAACTGGTATATAATGTGTTGAACATTAAGGCGA